CAAAAAGAATACAAATAGAATAACTTTCCTATAACATTAATTAAAAATGACAAAGTTTCTCATTTCCTGGCTGTGATGACTAATTTTGTGTTAACTTGACTGGCCCATGGGGTGACCAGGCATTTGGTCAAACGTAAGTTTAGGTGTGTATGTAAGGGTGTTTTGGGGTGAGATTAATATTTGAATTGGTAGACTGAGTGAAGCAGACAGTTCTCCCCAATGTGGGTGGGCCCTGTCTAATCAGTTGAATGCCTGGGGGGGATTTAGAAAAAGACTGACTCTCTCATGAATAAGAGGGAATTTCACTTTTTCAATAGCCCTCTAGCAAAGACATTGTTTGAGGGGTTTGCTTTTTGTTTTTTCCCGCCTTTGGACTTGTCCTGTAACATTAGTTCTTCTTGGGTCTCAAGGCTGTCAGCCTTCAGACTATAACTATGCCATCCCTTTTCCTGATTTTCAATCCTTTAGGTGGAGACCAGCACTAAGGCTACAGACTGCAGGTTTTGGGACTTGTCAGCCTTCAAAATTATGCGAGCCAATTCCTTATAATAAATCTATCTATGTATCTATCAGTCTACCCTATATAGACAGATGTCATGGATAGATAAAAAGAAATGATGGATGGATGGATGGGTGGATGGAGGATGGAAGGACCAATCCTACTGGTTCTGTTTCTTTGGAGAACTAATACACTGGCTAATAAACCTCTACTAACCCATGCTGGTACTAATGATAATAACACAGCTCATGTGAATACAATGAATTCTGCTCAAACAAAATCTTAGATAAATTCTCAAGTCCCTGTCATTGTAAGTTAATCTAATTAAACACTTGATACATTTTGATATATACAACTACTTTAGAACCTTGTTTTCCATGTATAATTCTGAATAATAAATTCAAAATCATGTAGAGATGATTTGAGAGATTTCTAAAACGGAGCATGTTAGATTTGGGATTCGGAAAAGGGGAGACACATCATTTGAAAGACGTTGGGTCGGCGGTTCCAGAAATGCAGGAGGAACAATAGAAATGACTGCCAGGGCCGCCATCTTCCAGTCCCCTCCCCCCCTTAACCCTAGACTCTCCCACCAAAAGGGTGTACACCCAGGTCACCTCTCCATAGGTAACCCGATACCTATGCAGGAAACAGGAGTCTCAGGAGCCCTCACCCCATACCTTCCAATCACCAAATATGGATGTGAGCCCATGCCCTACCTTGGCCTGATAAAAGACCCCGCCAACTCCCTCCCAGTGCAACTTCCCCCACTCCCCTTTCCAGAGCCAAGGAACCTCGCCCGAGGGTGCCCACCTCCTCCCGGCGTGACTCTCCTGGCTCCCCTTCTCCTAAGCCCTGAAACTTCCCCAGAGATGCCTTTAATAAATCTTGCCTTGTGCCTACTTTGCCTGGTGTTGTGTTTACCTTGCCTGCAAAACCTTACAAAAGAGACCTGAATATTCTGTATCAACAGCTGACAAGAACTCTTTATGAAGAGAAAAGACCAAGTGATTGTGAATACGAAGTCAAAATTTAGTTTTATATGCATACTTGTAGGTATAAGGAAATAATAAAAGCATACACAGAAACATTGTTTATGAAGTAGAAAACAATTGTACAACTCTTCACAGTTTGCTTTTACCAAACATAGTATGTGGCAAATAATCACATTACAAAAATATATTTTAAAAGCAATAATACCATGATGAACCTACGAATCTTTGCTGAACACTGTGGCAGGCTTTGATCTCACAACCCTGCGATCAGGACCAGAGCTGTAATCAAGAGTCAGACGCTTAACCGACTGACCTGCCCAGGTGCCCCTCAAATTCCACTATTCTTAAGGTAAGTAAAACCCGTACATGTAAGGGTCAAAAATTCATTTACAAACTCCAGAAAGTTCTTTTTAATTAACTAAACTAACATTTAATTTAATTTAACTAAAATTATATGTTTTACTTAAAATGTATAAATACTACATCTATATATATATTCACGCCCACAAACACAAAAATATATACAGATATATTTGCCCCAGTCAAATATGTATCCTATTGTCACTCCTTAACTCTTTAATTTATCACAGATATCCTCATAATTCATGATGGAAAGTAGTCTTGTATTATTTAGGTGATCTCTTAGATTCTGAAGTAGTCACTAATAATGGTGACAATCACGGTGATTGGAATGCTAATAAATGCTAACATTTACACAGTGTTGACTAGATGTCATACTACTTTCTAAGAGCTTTACAGAAATTAACTAATTTAGTCTTCACAAAACTCCAATGAGATAGGTACTAGTATTAGTCCCACTTCACAAATGACCGAACTGAAATAGAAAGAGGCCACATTGTCTAAGTACGTAAGAGACATTTAAAAAAAGTGTTTTGCCTTAATTTGTAGTATTAGAACTAGGTATTCCCTAAATACTTAAAAGAGTTATGATACAAACACTCCATAGAGTATAATCCCTGTGCTTGGAAATGAAGATTCTACAACCTCATTGGCAGGCTGAGGCTCCTCATCACAGTCCCCAGCGCCCGCTGAACCCAAAAGTCTGGCTTTCACTAACCACGACCCTGGACTGGAGTCATCACTATGGTCACCAAGTCCAAAGGCTCTTTTCTTCTCACGCTCTTCCATCTTTTCACAGCACGTATACTTCTTTACCAGTAACTTCCTTTTCCAAAATACCCTCAAAAGCAACGGTTGGATTGATGATGCCTCCTTTACTGGCTTTTCCCCTTGCCGCCTACAAGACCTGCTCATGCCTCTGTCCTCTGCCTCTTTGGCGATCACATCTAACCCAAGAGCTATAATATTTACCTCTATGTAGCTAGTCCTTAAATATGAAGGGAGCCCCTAAGCATCACAGCTAAGTTCTCAAACTCCTACTAGACATCTAGATTTCCCTTGGCATCCACTTACCATGCCGGTTAAGTTCCCCATCCTTCCTACAACCAGACTGGAGCTCCAGACTCCCATTTCCCTCCAAGCCACCCTATTTTGCTCTAGTTCTCCATGCATGAAACCTCTGTAAGATACAGCTCTAAGCTCCCTTCCTGCCCAGTCTTCAACATCTTCTCCAGCTTCTAGAAGAACAGGGGCGTATGATTTTCGGCAGGTACCCACCATGCTCATTCTCCATGTATGGAATCCTACTCGAGTTTCAATTTATCCAGGAAGTCTTGGTGACTTCCACTCAGGTATGTTTTCTCCACCTTGAAAATCTTGCAATACTCATGTTTCAGTTTCCATATGGTGCTGCTCATGTCTGACATTCATAGGTTGAACCACATGAAACTGCTGATAGTTTTATGCCATATGGCTCAACCTAATACTTCTGTTGTTTTTAAGGCCCCTAAATAGAGTTACCACAAAAGCAGGAATGAATTTCACCTTTCTTTGTGAGCCCCTGGGAAGCCCAGAACATTTGAAGTGTGTGTCAGAATAAATGGAATCTAAATCAATATGTACCTTTCACATACATGTTTATCAAATGAATCATCTGAGCAATTAGTCTAACCTACCAGCTTGAACAGTACAGTGAGGAGTTTTAGAACCTGAAACTTCAAAACTCCTGGTAACACAAAATATTTTGGTTCAAGGAGCTGTTTTAAAATCATTTATTTGTGAAGGGAACATTCCTGGATTTAGAGGTTGGCAGGTACAGTAAAAAGCTTTTTAGTTGACTGGAAAAAAAAAAAAAAAGGCGAAACACTTTTTAGCCCAGGCACTTCCCTTATAAAACAAACTGCCTAAAAGCAAAGCACAGCAGTTTGTTCACAATGAGCCCATGCCTCCAGCCATCAGCAAAGATGCTTTGGAACCAGAGGGGGACGCTTTGCATTTCTATAGCTTCCTTTGTATACCCAAATTCCGAAAGCATTTCGTGGAGCCACACTCATCAGGAAACGACACAATGATAGGATGTCAATACCAGAAGGGGTGTCCATGTAGCCAGACACAGGAGCCCCCCCCACCCCCACTGTGCACAACAGCGGGACCCCCCAGTGTATAAACAGGAGTGCAGTGAGTTGGTGCTGGTTAAGAAAGGGGAAGCTTGTGTCTGAGGGGTCCCTCCGCATCACCTGTGCCATCCACAGAAGATTCAGTCTTTCCTGCTTTCACAAAAGAATGACTTTAGTCCACGTTGCACAGGATTTGCCGGCCTCCCCCTAACAAATGACAGGTCTCCTCCTCCAGGTGAGGGCGCTGGGTATCACTCCCTTCACCAGTGCCCCCCTTCTTCCTACCGCAATCAGCCTTGGCAAGGAAACACCCAGATGAAAGGCTGAGAGGCTTCGACAGCATCCGGAGCAGCATGGTGCTAGGAGAGGACAGGTGCTGCTCACAGTCTAACGTTCCAGGGGCCTGTTCTGGGGACAATTTTCCTGAGGCTTAGGAAAATAAGCACGAAGGTAGACTTCTGCTACGTTCTGTCTCCCTCTGCCACTGGCGTGGAAACCGCGATTTAGATGCGGCTGGGATCTCTTGAGGCCTGTTGTGAACTGGCCCTGAGCCCCATCTGTCCTCGAGCCAGCCACCGAGGCAGACTTATGACTATCCTCCAGGGGTCACAATTGGGTTACAAATTCCTCACGGCGCAGGGACTGAGCAGCCTGATTTGGAACAATTTATTCGAATCCTTCTTCATTAAGATTCAAATGGAGTAAGTAAGGTAGAAATTGAACAGACACAGAAATTGTGCCTTGCTGCTCCTGTAGTCAGTAAACATTTATTCACTATGCCCAGTCTGTGTGTTCTCTCTCTCTCTCTCTCCCTCACTCACAGTTGTTCTTCCAATCCTTCCTGCTTGCTGTTTTAATGCATAATTAAGAAGGTCAGAATTAATGAAGCGGTGTGGAGTAAAGTTCAAGGAATCCCCAGGCACTATTTATTCTATTAGATCTCAGGCATGAATGTCAGCTTGGCACAGTCCGCGGCATAAGCAATGGGGCCGGCTGCAGCCCAGGAACAAACCACGGAGGGAGACTCACCTGCACTGTCAAGTCATTCCGAAGCTCCTTCCCAGCGAAAATCACACGCAACTGGTCAGCTGGAACCCCCTGTCGCTTAGCAACCACCTCCTTGAGCTGGAAGATGCTGGTGTCGGACTCGACCTCCACTGGGAAACCATGGCTGGAGTTGAACCTGACAAACACTGACCAGGACATTGGGAGAGAAGGGGGAAGTGAGTATTACTCAAAGCTCGGACATGGCAGTAGCAACATTTTTGACCCAAGTTACCGCTCGCCCGCCCTTCGATGAACGGCATACATTTTCTTCCACTTGTAACACAGAACTGAATGCAATGGAGCAAGGTTTGAAGAAAACTGGAGTTTCGCTGTGGGATTTCCCTTTCTACATCCGTCAGTGACCCTGAAACACAATCGCATGCTCCCTCCGACGCCTGTCCTGGGCCACAAAGGGCTCACGCTGAACACTGGCTAGATGGGAATGGCGAGACTCCAGGGAGTTTATGGAGAATCGGCTCCAGCAGGCTGTGGGAACGAGCACTCCCTCCACGGGGCCCTCTTCATCATAAACGTTAGAGATGTTCGGTTTGCGCTCACGGTGCATCGATGGGAACCACGCAGCTGCATGAAGACCGGCCCGAGCCCTAGACACTGCGTGACCCCATCCAAAGGCCCCACTGGATCTGCCGGTGATACTTACTCGCCCTTTCTTTTGAAACTACCGACACAGCCTTCCTGATTGGGGCCGCTACCCCCTCACCACCGACCCTGGGACCTGCCGACCCGGCACGCCTCCTCGATGTGGCTGACTGGCATCGAACTTGTCACTGTCACCCACACAGGTCCTTTCCCGCCCGCGCTTTCTGTCACTACTTTCAGTCCATCTTTTCTCAGTTCTTGCACTAGCCTCCAACTGCAGTCTTAATACACTCTCTTCGCTTCCAGAACGCCCTGCACCGTTCTGCAGAGCAAGCCTTTGCAACCCAGAGCTCTGCCCTCAAATCTTTTCAAGGGCCACTGTGTCTGCTGGGGAGAGAATCCCAGGCCCCAGTCATCTGACACAAACCTATATCCCAGGGGCGCCTCCGTCAGTCCGCACATGCGCACTGCCGCACTGAATGCCCCCCAGAACACCTGCGCATCCATGTCCCCCTTTCCCACACCCTTCTTCACCCCCCCGCCTGCTGAAAGCCTGCCCACCATAGGATCTACCTCAGATGCTCCTCCTCCAAGAGGCTTCTCACGATCGGCCCAGGCATGACCCAGCCTGCCTCTTAAGGCCTCAGGGGGGTGAACACAGCCATCTTACACTATTTGCCACAGTCCCTCCTGGAGGCAGCGGAGCACCGAGTTCCAAGGACACCCTCCAGAGTGGGAAGGACCCCAATGCCAGTCCTCGGAGGTCCCTTCCCAGTGGAGCAGGTGGGGTAAATGTCTTACCCCTATTGCTTTAACTCTCAGTTCCCTGTCACAATAAATAAGCCACAGAGGGTGTTCTGTCATGTGTTAAGCAATATTTATAGTGTTTACAATGATCACATGATTACTTTCAAAAATAATGAATGTTTGTATAAGACTTACATGTTTTGGGTATATATTTCTCCTTCTTTAAAAAGATGATAAACTCCTTAAGGCCAGCCACTATAGCTTATTTTCTGCAGCGTCCCCTTTAAATGTAGCATTATCACTTACTAGTTGTCAATTCAAATAGGAGATGGCCCACCGAGTAATAATTATAATAAAATAGTCACTGCAATGCCAATAATAATCGAACACCCATGATTTGGCAGAAGTAGCACCTCACATATGCTATTTTTAAGCTTTCCAATGATCTGGTAAGTTCAGTATTATTAGCCTTACCTAAAAGAAGAGTAAATGGAGTCCTAGAGAATTGTAATCACTTTTCTAAGGACATCAGCTGCTTTATAATGGAATCACAACTCAAATTCAGTTCAATCAAACTCTAAACTCCTTTCCATTTCTACTATAACAGGCTGCCTAAAATATTCTCCAGAGAAAGTCCACATTCCTTTTCCTTAGGATAAAAAGACAAACAACAACAGCAAAGAGGCTTTCGAACATAATTTAGATATCCCCTATCCAGGTGAGCAGCAGAAACTGGGATTAAAAAACAAAAGCTTCTAAAAGCTTCGATGAAGCGCTAAGACCAAAGAAAAAATAACAATGATTATAAGACACAATAAAATAAGAACGGCACCGAAATGAGAGCAGGCGTCTCGGGCGACACCACAGGAACAAAAACCTGACATAGTCTACCCGGCACAGAAACATAGTTAGGGAAGGAGTGTGCACTGGAAATGACAAAAGTGTTCTAAATCAAGATTTTTTTTTTAAATGACGAAAAGAATTACAGAGGAAAAGGGGCTTTTGATAAACTTTTACGTAGATGTCATATGACACCACTGAAGTAGAGGAGGAGAAGTAAATGTGTCCTGGAAGCCCTTGCAGTATATTCCCAGAATCCTCAGATCAGAGACCATAAGGCAACCAATTCAACAGATAAGATAAGAAACAAGTAAGGGGCAAGAAGGGACAAAAGGTATGGTCCCAGTTCTACACACGATTTTCTAATGGTGTGAACAGATTTGTTTTTAAAGCAAAATGCCATAGAGAGGAACCATGGGAAGAAACAGCTCGGGACTATACAAAAGTCACTAAAACTAAAGGAATAAAAATTCCAGGATGCCCTGAGTAGAAGATTTTTCTCCAGGGGTTTCAATTAGGGGGATTCCATCTTAAGGACAAGAATTATAAAAACAAACAAGCCAAATTAAAGTGAAAAAGAATACTAGAGAGTTCTGCACCACAACTCAAATCATTAGTATCTAAAGGCTTTTCTTCATTCTGTTTAAGTAGAAAAATTTAAGTTTTTGAACTTATGTTCAATTTGGTTAAGTCATGTCAATAGTTGAAAAATGAGTGTTTTTGAGCAGCAGCTCAAATATACACTAGGGACAGACAATGGAAAACCCACCAAATGCACAGCAGGTATTAGGCAAACTAAAATACGTCACGGATAAGAACAAACATTTTCAGGTGACCTGATCATCAATAATCAAGTGCCACTATGTGGGACATGACCGGTGCCTAGTGGCAGTAGTGTATTTTCTGGTGGGTATCTATCTTCTTCTGGCACATGGGAGAAAGGTGTCATGTCCTATGGGTCCTGGTCCTGAAACTCCAAGATTCCCAAAAGAGAGGAAAAGAGGAATGCACCCAACCTTGTCCCTCTACTACCTCTTGAAAAGTCACAGGAAGTAGAGTATCTTTAGAGCCAGGAAAAGAGAAAATGGAATGCTGGTTGTGCCACTTGCTAATTTTAAGACTTAGGACAAATGACCTGGTCACCTTTCTTAGCTCCTTGCCTGCTAAATGGAGATAATGTGTGCAACCTTAAATGCCCCGTTACAAAAGGTTTGCAGTGATTACGGATGCATCAGGAAATTATGGCATTTGGTACACATCTGTACTCTTAGTACAAGGCAGTTTGTACTCCAAAAACAATTCCTTAATTTCAGTCACCTAGAGGAGCTAGTGCTAATTAAAGTAGCATCCATTCTTTATATTGTAACTAAGATAGATTAAATGGGATATGGATAAATGCTAAATAAAGTAGCCTATTTTTCTGGTTTCTGCCCTTCTTCATGATGGACAGAAAATTCCCAGGAACAAAGAGACCCAGATAAAGAATTTAGCTTGTCTCCTTTCCTGAGATTTAATCGTAAATTAAAAGTTTGGGAATGCATTGATTCAAAGACACCTATAATAGCATCAGAAATAAATAGTATACCAATTAACACTATCAATAATGTTGACAATGTTAATAATCAATAATAAATACCATAATGCACTGCTAAGTAAAAGATAACGAGACACACCCACACTCATTTTGGTGCCATCCCTAACCAGTGTTCAGAAGATCCAGAGGATGAGAAAGTAACTGAGGAAAAAAAGGGGAAGGAGTCATTGTGTGCTGGGTGCTCATGTTTCTCCCAAGGCTATTCTCTTTGCCTGGCCTGACTGGGGTAGAAATGCTTGAGTTACAACTGTAGTAGTTTCCTATCACTCATCATTCCTATGATCCATCCAAGACGATGGCCCTTATAGGATCCGGCCTACCTTGAAAACAGCCATTCTGCTTCCCGCACAAAGAGCAGTCATGGAATTAGGTGGGCTGAGCCACTCTCTCCCTTGAGCCCAGAATGGACTGTTACTAATCAGCACAATTTCATCCTCCTTGTTACAGCAATAGGCTCAAGGATGGGCATAAATCAGTCAGTACCTGGCTTTCCCTTAGTAACAGTGATAGATTCCCTGGAGACCTTAGAAGGGGTGATCTAAGGTGGACAAATCAGAAAGCAGACCAGATTTGTCAAAGACTTGGCTTTAGACGGCACTGAACATCATGTGAGGCTCAGACATTTCTGCTGAGAGAATTAAACAAAAACAGAAGCCAAGACAGATCACTGTCATCCGCATAGAAATAGGCTCAGTGCTTTTGGGGTAAGATAATTCTTCCTCAAGAAAGAATGCCCTAAGCTCTCTCTACAGGATGTTTAGCTCTGTCTGCAGCCTGGCAGACACCGGGAGCATCCCCTGGCAACTGGGGTGACCAGGAAGTACCCCTACATATCGCTAACTACCCCTTGGTGGAGTAGTTTTCTTCTTTACCTATTAAAAAATACCACCAAGACTAGATTCTCCTATTGTAAACAGACAAACCCTGTCCTCACTTTCCTCTTCAGGCATTGTCCACTTCTCTACACAGAAAACCTTACTGTGAATTTATTATAGTTCTGCTCTCCACCGACTCACTTCACATCCTTTTGTGAACCCACTCTTGAAGATTACTCTTGGTAAACCTAATAATAATGCTATAATTATTCTATAATAATTCCATAATACTTCTAATAATAATTCTAATTGTTATTAGAATAATTCTAAGTCTAGAAGTATTAGAGTACTTCTAAATCAATGGTTCCATTTCTATTTTTCTCATATTTGACCATTCAGAGACATTCAGTAGATTTTTGTTCTTATAACACTTCTTTTCTCCAGGCATGTGCCATCACACCATCCTGGTTTCCCCCTACAACACAGGATATGCTTTCTTAGCTTCATCTACTGAGTTCTCTTCCTGTGTTGGACTTACTGATTTTA